GGCCTACCTGAAAAATAAAACCGGATATTACGAATTATTATATTATTAATTAATTTAACCTTCGATTAATAGATCTTATTAATATTAAGAGCTATATACCTAGCGTTATTAGTTTATTACCTGAATTTCCTCGATACCTCGGAGCTACTAACCGATAATTACTTTCGGGCTTTAGTTTAGGAGGCGGGAGTACGGGATATACGGTACTTATTAAGGCTTAAGAATTAATCGATTAACGTTCCGGAATTCCTCGGTAAAGGATAGCCGGCGGAACGATTCGTTAGGCTATTTATTTATTAGCTTTACCGGCGGCGGTATCGACTTAGCCCGTTAATACGTTACGGCTTTCTTCTTATCGTTCTTAGTCTTTTCGGCCTTCCCGGAAGCCCCGGCGATTTCTTCGTCGATAATTTCCGTAGCCTTAAGCTACTCGAGTAGCTTAAAGGCGGATACCCGGTTAAGTTTTAGGAGCTCTTTTTAGAGGGTAGGGTTTATAGTATATATATATATAAGAAAAAGAAAGATAGGAACGACGAAATTATAAATCTAGAATTAAGAAAAATCGAAAAACGAATTAAAACGAAGATAGAGGACCTAAGGAAAGGAAAAGAGAAAATAGATCGGAACCGTAAAATAGCGAGAAATAAAAGGAGAAATTAAACGAAAACGTAAGAATCGAATACGTTACTTAGATCGTAAGTACCGTACTTAGGAGAGCCTCGATAGTACTTACCTTAGCTTATGTTTAATTATGAGTCTACGAACGTACGTATTTATTACTTTATTAAGAGCATATAATAGGAAGCTATAAGTTAACGTATTTCTTATTATAGCTTTATACGTATACGGGGAAACGCGCTTTCCTAAAACGTTAGCCGTAAAGGTATATCTAACTATATCGTTAATACGTTTCCCTCCCTTCCTCTTTTTTTCCTCTTTAGGTATTCCATTTAAAAAACTCTCCCTTTATAATTATTATATTCTTATTAATCTCTAGCCTACCTTTTTTATTATTAATTTAAATTCTTATTTTTACCTTTAATTTATTATCTTTTCTTCCTTCTTTTAATTCTTTTTTTTTTATTTTTACGATATCTTCCTACCGCTTCGTTAGCGTTCCCCTTTCCTTCTCCCTTTCCTTCGTTCATAGAGATATACGTCGCGCCGATTTAGCTAACTTAATAAAGCTCCTACGGAAGATTTATAGTAATAAAAATAACTAAAGTAATATAAAGGAATATTAACTTAGTACTTTAGATAATTACGATTCGGGAAGGGGTTAGATCGAGTTAAGATCCGATATAGCCTAGGCCTTCCGGCTATCCGCTAATCGGCCCCGAACTATAGACTAATAGTAATAAGAATAAACGAAGGTAATCCTAACTAACTTTTTCGTATACCTCGCTTATTACGCCTACCTTATTAACGAAAATATCCGCGCCTTTTATATTATAATAAGCTACGATTTCGAAGGTAAGAAGGCGGCCTTCGAAATAAACCCGTATTAAATAATAAGCTATTAATCGGTAGGATCGTTTAACTTCCTAACCTGTTAATACTTTCTCGATAACCCTACCTTTACTTTAGTCTTTACGATTTATACGGATCTAATAAATCCCGAACGAGTTATTACTAACCCCGAGGAGTTCTCCTAGGCTTACTTCGCCGTAGCGCTATATCTTCTTAAGCTCCGAAGATTATTTAGTTTTAATATAATTAAGAACGGCGCCTTTAATCGGGCGGCGTACGTACTTAGTTAGTTATAATAAGCATAGGAAAACGGTAATCTCGAGCTTAATATAACCCTTTAATTTATTTATTACGTCGCGTTAATAAATTAATAAGATAGCTATAGTTACGGTTTTTAAAGCAGCATTTTACCGTATCTTATCTTTAAACGACCGATTAAGGTCGTTCGCTAAGCCTAAGAAAATAAGGGGCTTAACTCCTTAAATATTATAAGGGAATACGCCGAGGTAGTAAAGTAATTTTATAACGTTCGGGTTTTAAAAGAAAGGGTTAGTATCGTTAAACGTCTCCGGTAAGCCGTAAATTATTAAAAGTAAATCGACCTTATTAACGTTATAATATTTGCTTAAAGTACGCCGATCGGTAAGTTCCTTAACCGTAAATCGTTCGTCCGTTCGATCGTATAAGCGGAGATCCGCCGTTCCTTTATAGCCTTAGTACCTAATCCCCCTTACTTCCTCGTATCGGTAGATACCGACCTCCGTTACGATAACTTCGTTAAAGTTACGACCCGTTCCTTCCCTTTCCCCGGCCTAGTAAGGATTAGAGCTTTTTAGTTAAAGAAAACCTCTACGTCGTATAGGTAGAGGAGAGATACCTAGTTAACCCTCGGAACGCGCCCGCTCCCTTATTATTCCCTTAACTAAGAGGGATAAGCCGAAATTAAAAAGAAGGTAGCCGAAATAAAGAAAGAATACGCCGATCGGGTTAGATCGGTAAGGGTAAACCGGGCTAAGTTAACTATAAAATAATAGAGAGATTCCTTCGTTATATTAAATAATAAGTTAAAGGCTCGGCCTTAGTAATTAAATAATAACCGGTAGAATAGAGTTTCGCGATAATTTTTAAAGGGAGATACCGATCGGGATATACCGTATTATCTTTTTTAATTTAATTATTCCTTATGATATAATTAAACTAAGGAGGCTATAGTAATACGGTAAAATATATCCTCTTAATATATTATATAATACGTTACGATAGGCCTTATACTTATATATAGTAACCATAGCTTTCGTAAGTACGGGTTATACTATATTTATTATCGAACTTTCTACCTAGCTAGATTATTATTTTTATTATTTTTACCTTAATTAAAGATCCGTTTTTATTATTAGATTCGTCGTTCTCTGATTAGTATATTTATTTTAATTATAGGCGCTTAAGTTACTTCGTCGTATTATTATAACCGAATAAGTAACTTTTACGTTTTATTCCTTTTCTTCCCTTACCTCTTATGCCTTCGGGCTAGCGATTACTACATCTCTACGACTAAGGGGCATAGCTAAGATATAATAACTACATTAGATTCCTTATCTTTCGATTAATATAGCGGTACTAGTTTTATCTATCTCGGACTATCGTACGTATTATAGTCTTTAATAGAGTATACTTTCGAGTAAACCTATCCGGGCCTCTAGCATCGCGTACGCTCTGCTCCTCCTCATTACTTACGCTAGAATAACTTAAGTAATAATAGCTCCTTAGGAGTACCCCGGGCTTATAACTATTACGTAACTAATGAGAGCTACGTATAGCTTATTAAGTTACGCATAAAGGAAGTAATAGAATACGGGTAAGAAGGTATATATTAACTAACTAAAAAGAAGAAAATCTACTAGAGAGTATGGAGTAATCTACAGGTACATATAGAAGTGCTTAACCAGCTTAGGTAAGCTGGATGGTTCCTACTAGGGGCGCATACCTACGTAATAAACATATAATAGTATATTAAATTATTATCAATTTTCATAAATTTTATATATACATATAAATTATATTTTAATATTATCATTATCTTACTTTATTTACATAAATTTATCAAATATAATCCTATCCGGAGGATAGTTATAATACGCATAACCCCCTGTTATGCTAATTAATTGCGGGGTTAAACACCCCTGTAAATACCCCTGTAAATACCCCTATAAAGGGGTGTCATTTAGGGGAAACTCTGTTTTTATTAGCTGAAAGTTCGTATACGCCGTTTTAATTGGTTAAACGTTCGTATGACCCGCTTAAAAGGGATGCATCCAATAAAACCGCAGCATACGCGTCCATCTATTTACCTACGCGTCCATCTATTTACCTACGCGTTCAATCCTATTTCCTACCTATTTCAATCCTATTCAATCGAGGTTAGTTTCTCGTTCAATCCAGGTCAGTTTCTCCCCGTTTAATCCAGGTCAGTTTCTCCCCGTTCAATCCAGGTCAGTTTCTCCCCGTTCAATCCAGGTCAGTTTCTCCCCGTTCAATCCAGGTCAGTTTCTCGTTCAATCCAGGTCAGTTTCTCCCCATTCAATCTAGGTCAGTTTCTCCCCGTTCAATCCAGGTCAGTTTCTCGTTCAATCTAGGTCAGTTTCTCGTTCAATCCAGGTCAGTTTCTCCCCGTTCAATCCAGGTCAGTTTCTCGTTCAATCTAGGTCAGTTTCTCGTTCAATCCAGGTCAGTTTCTCCCCGTTCAATCCAGGTCAGTTTCTCGTTCAATCCAGGTCAGTTTCTCCCCATTCAATCTAGGTCAGTTTCTCCCCGTTCAATCCAGGTCAGTTTCTCGTTCAATCCAGGTCAGTTTCTCCCCGTTCAATCCAGGTCAGTTTCTCCCCGTTCAATCCAGGTCAGTTTCTCCCCGTTCAATCCAGGTCAGTTTCTCGTTCAATCTAGGTCAGTTTCTCGTTCAATCCAGGTCAGTTTCTCCCCGTTCAATCCAGGTTAATTTCTCCCCGTTCAATCAAGAGTCGATTACTAATCAATCCCTTTTCGCAGTTCAATCAAGCGTCGATTCCTACTTACCCCTTTTTCCCTAGCCTTCGGAGAGGTTCTAGGTTTTCGGCACGAAAACCTGGAGAAGCGCGGAGCGCTTCGACGTATTTTAAACTTAAAATATAATACTTAACTAATTTGAATATTTAAAAGTTAGGTATAAATTAAGAACCTATTAGCTTTACTTAGACTTAATTAGGTACGGCTAGTAACGTAAAGCTAGTGCCTTACTTAGCTCTATATACCTAGGATGCCTTACCTTAATGCTGAATAGCTTGCAACACATGTGACTAAGCTGTATATACTCTTACACCCAGCGACCCAGCCAACACATTTCTAGATGACGGTACTGTATATATATATAATATACCAATCAATATCAGCGGTGCCTCGGGCCCTTCATAAGGTTTCTGGCTCCCCTTCACGAAGTTCCGGCGACGGAACGTCCGGCAACGACAACCTTGTTCTGAACACGTATCCGGTCGTGTCGTCTAGGATGACTTATATGTCAACCCACCACCCCAGCTATGTTCGCTATTCTTCCCCCCATTGGTGATCTCGCCTTCGACCGCTCCAGTCTCAAAAACACAATTGCCCATATCCAAAATTTCCGCTGGTGCAGAGGGCATAATATCAAAATCGAAGATATCGACAGGCAGGCCCAAGGTTGTGCAAGCATTCGGGATGTCCACGATACCCGCCACGTGGCCCTGGATAGGCGCCGACGACAGCAGGAGGTAAATTTGGTAGTCGGAATACCCGAACCGACGGAGGTACTCGATGCAGCCTGGTGTTGTAATTAGCCACTCGAATCCAAACTCGCCATCGGCCCCCTCCTCTCCTTCTGCCGTTGACCCCTCAGTCTATTAGAAAGCGTGCCCCCTCGGGCCTTGTCAAGCAACTTACGCAAAGTGGTCTGTCTGTACGCAACTGCGACGTCCATATAGTGCTGCTTGCCGTGTTCGTCCACAGAGAAACCCTCGAAGTAAATATACCGACCCGGGCCAAACTGGGGCTCGACGGGCCCAGGTAGATAGATCGGAGACTTCAGGCTCAGCTTTGCCACACCGGCCTTGATGACTTTGAAGTTGATAGTTATGACGCCGGCCATCTCTATTGCTCCACAGAAAGAAATCTCACCGTCCCCCTCTATCTTAGGTCAGCGTAGAGCAGCTTTTTGTTGTCTGGGGGGAGAGGGGTGGCGAGGATGTTTCCCCCTGATCCTAGAAAACTCACGTGAGAAGTGCAAATCTCCGACACTAAACTTTGCACCGAGAACATGGACTGGCAGGTATATCTTGGAACCTCTGCTGAGGTTCTTGATATCACAGTTCCCACCGCTAGAATAAACGCGGTTAGCGATTTCATCGGCCAACATACGCCCATTTTCCCCAAACCGGGAGAGGAGGACCGAGTACACTACTGCGAGGAGACCCCCAAATCTCCCTCAGGAACAGATACCATCGGTCGTGACAGTATGAGATCATTTAGGAGTGACTGTGGAAGGCCCTTACTGCTCTGGTCGACCTGGGATCGTCCTAGCACCCTCTCTTCCAATCTTATCACGAAGCGCCGCGTCGGCCGCGCCGGCGTGGACTCCCGTTGGATCTGGTGGCAAAGCAACCTTCCTATCCAGTTTGTTAGCCGATATCAATTCGGCCTCGCGCTTATTCCAGGTCGCGAGGACCTCGGCAGACGGTGCGCATCCTAGGATTCCGGGATGGATGAGCCCTGCGAACTTCACGTGAGGAATGTGACGAGAGGTAGCAAAGATACCCTCGAAATCCCAGACGGCCTTTGCGGCGGATGGATAGATCTCATCGAGGAAGCCACCACCATTGTCCTTATGAAAAACGCCCGTGAATCCCCACGGCTGGTCTTGGAACGGCTGGACGTCCATGATTTCAACTAGCAAAAGATCGCCCGGCTCGGCGCCTTCAATCTCGAAAGGACCCGTAAGGCAATGGCACCTATCGAGGTCAACATCGCGGATGTCATCTGCGCTGTCGTTGTTCCCGATCTGTCCCCCGGTCCTAGGAGTGGCATTAGTCGATACGACGGGCGAGGAGCAGATATTCGGCTTGCCAGTCGAGACACTCAATTTTGACAGTCTCGCCGTCCTTTATGGTACCGGCAAAGGGAACTAGCCACATCCGCATGTAAGTATTGTAGAACAAGCTGCCCAACAACGAAATGGGTGCTTAGTAGTACATACCATCTGGGTGCCACCTGTTCTATAAGGAGAATGTTAGTTCGGAGTCTGATGGCTCCCGCGGGCTGTCCTGTATGACCGACGTACATGGAGATTTGATTGCTCCGTCGCCGGCCTCTCAAAGCTAACCTTTCCAACCGTACGAATCTCCGTCTTACCCATGGTTGTTTCGGTCTCGGGAGTCTGAATGTAAATGCCAAGCAGTAGTCGTGCTCCTCGCGATGGATACCCGTAGCGGAATACGGGAGGCGGGACGCACCCAGGGCTTATATAGACAGATCCCTTGGTAAGTTAGGACCATGCAAACCCAGTGTTGTACGTGGTGTACGTTCCGTTCATAGTATCCGGCGCAGACATACCCCGCAGCTACTGGTGATCGACTTCGTGACACTACCCTCACCGGGTGCGTACTTACGAAGGTGGTAACCGCCAACTAGCTGGCATCGTGTATGGCTCTGTTGCCCCCCTAGCGTGTGTGTTGTCCCGTGTATATCCTGAGTTGCCCCTTGGCCCTCCCCCAACATGCAAAGGACTTCCTCCTTATCGTGACTTGTCGGTGCAGCTGCTGCACATGGAGCTACAGCATGCATATGTACAGATAAGATTCACCCAACTCGGGATCCGCGACGCCCACCCCGGAGAAGATCCCCAGGACGTCACGTGGAGGCTTCGGGATACCCCCCCCCCGCCATTCGAGATATCCTCTAAAGAGCTGATAAGAAAATGCAACTCCTCGAGAGATAGCTAGTAAGCCAGGTTCTCATTGCTTGAGGGTTTGACACATAAAAACAGATCGTGATAGATAGGCCTAGGCCAAACATTGAGCCGGCTTATTCAGCTACAGAGGAATCCAAAAGTGGCCTGTTGATTCGTTTCTCGTCTAAGGGCTCGTGGTCTAGAGTTTCTGCTCTTGGGGTTTCCCACTCACGTCCCCGACCACGCCATCGTAAGCGGCCGGCGGCTGTTCTCCACGGACATCGTCTAGATTCCTTAGCGAGAGGCTGAGAAACTCATGCCTATTCCTCCACACCTGCTGGCTGGCAGAGAATTCCTCCACCTGTGAGCGCGGTGCGTCGAACGCTGGTGGGGGGTCTGTAATCTTAGTGATAAGGTATGCCGTCGACGCCTCGGCGATACCATATACCAGCACACCAAGTAGCGGAACCCGTAGCAGGGCGTAAAACCCAATGCCGAATCCGAAGAGGAGGCCCTCGCGGTTACGAAACCAAAGTCGTCTCTGTTCCTTGGAGAAGGGAACGCGGGCGAAATAAGGTTCGAGTAGCTCTCGCACTAAGCTACGGGACGCAAAATAGGTCTGCAAGAATATCACAAGATAGCGCTTTGGGAGAAACAGCCCAGTGCCGAAGATGACGGCGGCCGGACCCAGGCCCACCGCCTTATTGAATGTGTAGAAACTAACCGCGGGGAGCACCAATCGACCGAAATAAGGGGCGTACGAAAGCGTAAATACGGCCAGGGATACCATAGCTTTCCGGGTGAACCGCCACAAGAACATAGTAATCGCCTCGGCAGCGCTCGTTGAGTGTGTACTCCCGTCCCGTTTCTTGTAATGGCGGAGGTTAGGATAGTACATGCCTCGAAGCCTATCAGGATTCTCATGCGCGTGCTTTTCGAGATAGGTCGTATCTACCCAACATAGCGAATCCATAAACCTATCCACCAATTACCAAAGAGTGCAAATGTCGGCGGTGCCGGAGACGGGTAGATAAACAGGGAGAATGAGCGTACATATTATCCAACGCTGGTGTGATGTACCTCATAAGGGTCATGAGGAATAGCGGGATTTGGAGGACGTGGTTGGCGACCAAGTCAAGTCCATTCGCCAATTGATCGTCCCACGTAGCCTTGTCAAGGTCGAACACCAACGAGAAGACGGTCAACAGAAGCTTGATTCCTAAAATCTAAAGCGGTTTGGAATGGTCACCATGAAATGTCCCGACAGGCGAGACGGCCTCGGACCGGGGTCTCTTACAGGGACAGCGATAGCCAAGCGAATGACAATACCGACCCCAACGGCAACGGCGGCCTGCTTATAGTGGGAATTGGTGAACAGGGCAGGGTTCTGCAAGGCTCGATGGGCTAGATAGATACAAGTGGGCGAAGGTTGTTAACTACTAGCCCATACGCAATTATTTTAACATTAGGCACACAAGGACATACCGCCGACGAGAGTGAGCTGAGTACCCCGTAAGACAGCATTTGGGTCGAAGTGAGACATGTCAAAAGGCCCCTTGGGCTCCGTCTTGCTCATTTTCTCTGGTCTAGACATGTTCCGTCTGGCTATCGATGAGGGTATAGCGGATAGGTGGGGAGGCCGTCCGCGGAGAGATACTCAAAATCGGGAGATAGTGTAACAATCGAGAAAGAGAAAGGAGGAACCGGATAAAGCGAACAAATCCTTGAGAATGTAATCGCCTACGACAAATAATGCGTAATAGGTAAGATAAAGCTAAATAAGGCGCGTGTAGCACGTGACCATTCTTATACAATGAAGCCTAAGGGAAGCTAGTAGGCAATCATACTTATAGTTTAAATAATTAATAAAAATAACTATTCTGTTTTAAATAAAATAAATTTAAATTATTATTTAAATAAACTAAAGCACTGATTAAGTTAAAGCATAGTTTCTTTTATATTAAGTTTTTATCATTTACTTTCAAGTTAAATATAAAATATTATTATAGTTTCAAATGCTGCTCGCTATATAAAAAATATATATTAATAATTTAAAATTATATAAAGAAAAAGAAAAAAATACATACTTATAAAACTATACTTAAAATAATTAACTTAACTTTTATAAACATATAAATAATAATTATATACTATATTTTTATAATTAAAACTTTATTATTAACTGTAATTTATTATATAAGCTATCTTCTATTAATAAAATGCGTTAATTAATTATTATTTTCTAGGCTTTTATAATAATAATATAATTCCTATTTTGCTTTCTAGATATTCTTTTCCTTTTTTAGGTATTTCTTTATTTACTTAAGTATTCTTTTACATTTTGTAATACTTTATTTGCTTTCTTAGTTATTTTCTTGGCTTTTTTACGTAATTTACTATTATTCATAACATTTATTTTTAAAGATATTTAAAAAATCAAAATTCGTCGTTTATTCAATAAGCTATAAAGTATTCTTTTCTTTACGTTGGATACCTTTTTGTATTCTTGAATTTATTTTTTATTTACTATAATAGTGCAGTAAGACTAGGCTACGTAGCCTTTCTGATAAGTATTTATATAGGTTTTATACTTAGTTTTTTATTGTATGATCTTTATTTTATAGGTATTTTATAGAGTTAACATAGTTGAAAATGTTATTTTATTTAATGTACCTTTTTAGCTATTGCTATTAAGGAGGAGCAGAGCGTACGCGATACTGGAGACCCGGATAGGTTTACTCGAAAGTGTACTCTATCGAAGACTATAGTACGTACGATAGTCTAAGATAGATGAAACTAATATCGCTATATTAATCGAGAGATAAGGAATCTAATGTAGTTATCGTATCTTAGCTATGCCCTTTAGTCGTAGAGATATAGTAGTCGCTAGCCCGAAGGCATAAGAGGTAAGGGGAAAAAAGGGGCAAAACGTAAAAGTTATTTATTCGGCTATAACGGTACGACGAAGTAACTTAAGCGCCTATAATTAAGATAGATATATTAATCGGAGAACGACGAATCTAATGGTAAAAACGAATCTTTAATTAAGGTAAAAATAGCAAAGATAATAATCTAGCTATATAATGAACTAAATAATAAGCATAGCATCTCCCGTACTTACGGGAGCTATGGTTACTCTATATAGGCATAAGGCCTATCGTAGCGTGTCACGTGATGCATTAAGAGGGCATGTTTTACCGCACCACTATACTATTTAATTTTTTCTTTCCTTAGTTCCCTTTTTAGTTAGTTAATTAATTAATATTACGATAAGAAAGTTATAATTAAACGTAACGAAAATAAGGTATTTACGAATTAGCCGTTAACCTTAGAGTAAATATAAGCATATTACGACGATGCTTACTACGAATTAATTAATAAAGTAAAGAACGAAAAGGAGATATAATAAAGATTAAAAGAAAATAATGGATAAAGAAGAAAGTTCTTCCTACTAGATTCTTAGAATAGGAATTAAGGAAAAGGAGGATAGTATTAAAAACTACTATTAAAGAAAGTACTAATAAATATAGGTTAAAAGACGTAAAAAGAAAAGAAATAGAGGTACTATAGGAATAAGATTATTTTAGTTTCTCTTATACGGGCGACGTTAAGAAAAGTTAAGATAGTTACCTGCGAACGACGCTAAGAAAAAAAAAGACAATCGCCTGCGGGCAGTACTAAGAGAAAAGAATAGCGACTGCTCGTTAGAAAGATACCTTACTACTTTAGCTATAAATAACTATATAAAACGAAAGATATCTTTATAGTTTAATAGTTATCCTTTTAATTCTTTAGTTATTAATTTTAAATATATAATTTACTCTTAATAAATACCTTAAATTGTATAATTAAAAAGCATATAAAGTATAGGTTGTATAACTATAACCGATTCCTTAATATATAAAGATAAGTATTATTACTATTTAATAGTATATTACGGAGTAGTTGAATTAGCTTATATAAGCCTATATATTGTAAAGCGTAAATGTAGACGTCTACGTTTTACGTAATAGTTATAAGCCCGGTCCCCGCTTCAGGTGCTTTAGCTTAGTAGCTTGGTTCCTTTAATTACACGTACACGAGCGCGGCAAGCGCAGCCTCTTACGCGGTAAAGCCCTAGAGCCAGACTAAAACTAGTAGTAAGGCGTCGCGTTAAGAGGTTAAGAGTTTAATTCCTATATCGAATAGTTATTAGACCTACTGAACAGGAGCAGCGTAGGCACGCTAACGGAGGCACGAAATAAGGACTACCTAACTACCAATAACTGGCCTAGTGCCGATTAACTAAGATTATAGCTATAAATAGCTATAATCGGTTGATCGGCTAGCTAAAAACGGTAGCTAAGAAAGGAGAGAAAAGGGAGACTAGAAAAGGGTAACGAGGATCGCGAGAAAAGGCATAGCAAAAGGAGTAAATAACTATAGCTAGTAATAACTATAATAGCTACAGGTCTAAGTCTAACTAATGAAAATATAAGTACGCGACTTATATAAATAGACATCGAAAAGGCTACGTGGCCTAGATCTACCGCACTACTACAGCCTCCTTAGTTCAATTAATCTGTAAGGAGTAATTAAACTCCCTATATAATAATAGATACGGTAGCTCTCGTTTCTATTAAACCTAATCAACCTAATCCTAATTAACCTTAATCAATTAAAAGCTAGCTAGTTTAATTAAAGGTCAATAGGATAAGTCAGGAGATAGGTTAACTAGGAACGATTGCAACAGCAACAAGTAGGTGGTAGGGTAGGTAACTGCAACCGTGCCTAACTATACCTAATCCTAATCAATCCCGAACCTATTTAATCGCTACTAACTAGGAGCTGAGCTAGTTTAATTAACGATTAACAGGAAATAATAGAATAGATTAATTAACAAGAATAACTAGGCTAGCGGAGCTATAACTTATAAACTAACCTAATTAACCTATTCTTAATTAACCCTAATCAATTAGGAGCGAGCCAGGTTCATCAGGGCCACCAAGAAACAACAGGGATCAATCGGAAAACAGGAACTACAACGGGCAGGTAAAACAAGCGTAGCTCCCGTAAGAAACAAAGAAATAATCCCATACGATACAACGTAATCCCGTCCTTCTCGTCCATAACTGGCTTTACCGATCCTTTCAACTAATCCTGATTCTGTAAACTGACTGATATATCCTATTCATGCCCGACTATTTCCGTTTCTAACTGTTATTCGTCCGGCAGTATTTACTAGGCTTCCCTTAACCCTCGATCCCTCCCTTATATATAGTTCTAGGGGCTCTGGCTCTTCCTACTAACCACATATCGGTAAGGGCGATAAGAGGGGTCTCCGGGTAATATCCTGTAACTCGTTTCTATCCTATAGCTATTTCTAGGTTATCTTATTTAATATTTATTTAATTCGTATCGTATCGGTATCGTCTATAGGTCTATCGCGCTAATCAGTAGGTTCTCCGATTAGGTTCGTAGGTATAAGGTCTGTCGGTATCTTCGTATAGTAATTAAGGGCATCGTAGCACCTATCGGTTAAGGAGAAACCTCCCTAGGTACCGTAACTAGCTAATAGAAATAAAACAAGGGTAATCGGAGCTATTAGTAAGCCTCTTATAATTGAAATAAATCGATCGGTAAAGAACGGATACCTTTAAGCGCGTACGAGGTTGTAAAAAGGGGTAGTGGCGGTAACGGAGTTAGATTAACTAAGAAAACTGCTATCTAGGCACTGAAAAACGAGGGCGAAACCAGATAAAAACGGGTATAGCTCCTTTAAAAAAGATAACTAAGAAACGAGAATAAGGGTTCCTACTAATCGGCGGACGAGCTTTCAGGTAAGCTAATCAAAAGCTAATGGGAGGGCGTAGGTTGTTAAAATGGTCGCCATAGTTATCTGCCCTTCCTATTAATCCAGCCACCTAAAAATTCAAACCAAAAGCTACGAAAACGGCTCTGGAGCCACGAAAATAGCTCCTAATTAAACGAAACTCTGGGGATCTCCTAATCGACGAATTCTAAACCTAACAACTATAAAAACGGTCACAAAAGGTCACTCCTAAGATAAGGTAAGGACGAGCTACTAGGTAGTCGCTACTGAACAGGAGTAGCGTAGGTACACTAACGGAGGCACGAAATAAGAACTACCTAACTACTAATAACTAGCCTAGTGCCGATTAACTAAGATTATAGCTATAAATAGCTATAATCGGTTAATCGGCCAGCTAAAAACGGCAGCTAGGAAAGGAAAGAAAAGGAAGACTAGAAAAGGGCAACGAGGATTGTAGTAGTGCGGTAAGACATACCCTCTTAATGCATTACGTAACACGTTACGATAGGCCTTATGCCTATATAGAGTAACTATAGCTTCCGTAAGTGCGGGAGATGCTATACTTATTATTTAGATTATTATCTAGCTAGATTGCTATCTTTATTATTTTTACCTTAATTAAAGATTCGTTTTTATTATTAGATTCGTCGTTTACCGATTAATATATCTATTTTAGTTATAGGCGCTTAAGTTACTCCGTCGTACCGCTATAGCTAAATAAGTAACTTTTACGTTTTACCCCTTTTCTTTTCTTACCTCTTATA